CTTCCTTCTTTCCTCCCTCCCTCCCTTTTCTTTCCCTCCCTCCTTCTATCTCCCTTCTTCCCTCTCCTTCCTTCCTTTTCTTCCTCTCTCCCTCGCCCTTTCCTTTCCTCCACTCCTTCCTTCCCCTCCCTCCTTCTATCCCCCTCCTTCCTTCTTTTCTCTCTCCCTCTCCCTTTCCCTCCCTCTCCTTCCATCTTCTCCCTCCCTTTCCCTCTCTCCCTCACTCCTTCTCTTCCTTCCTCTCCTTCCTCCTTCCTTCCTATTTCCATTTTCTCCCTCCCTCCTCCCTTCTCTTCCTCCCTCCCTCCTTCCTTCCTTCATCCCTCCCTCCCTTTTCTTTCCCTCCCACCTTCTATCACCCTTCTTCCCTCTCCTTCCTTCCTTTTCTTCCTCTCTCCCTCCCCCTTTCCTTTCCTCCTCTCCTTCCTTCCCCTCCCTCCTTCTATCTCCCTCTTTCCTTCTTTTCTCTCTCCCTCTCCCTTTCCCCCTCTCCTTCCATCTTCTCCCTCCCTTTCCCTCCCTCTCTCCTTCCTTCTCTTCCTCCCTCTCCTTCCTCCTTCCTTCCTATTTCCATTTTCCCCTCCTTCCTTCCTTCTCTTCCTCCCTCCCTCTCCTTCCTCCTTCCTCCCCTCCCCTTCCATTTCCCTCCCTCTCTCTTTCCCCATCTTTGCAGGGAGGATTGCTCCTCCTCCTGGCACACAATGTGGGGACTGACCATCTCAAGAGCTCCCTATGCATTAAGCTCCAGGCGCTGCTGCCCGTTGGCTGTGCAGAGGGCGGATTGGCTAGATGACCTCCGAGGCCCCCGCCCATCACGTGTGTTTTGCTAAAAGCCTGCCAAGGCCCCCTCGAGGGTGTCCGATGCTGAACTCCACCGACACCACCCCGAGTTGGGGACCTCGGCAGAGACCTCAAGGGTTGAGGAGCATCCTAAGACCATCTCCATTCTCTCAGAAGACATTAAAACAAAAAAAAGGAAGACCGTTTCGGAAAAGGAAATGAAAATATTCCTTTACTCACTGGGTACCCCTCGGTTTTCTTCTGACACCACTTCAGGAGCGCGTTGCGTTTCGAGCCGCCATACTCCCTCGCCAACGCAGCCAACGGATCCTTCCTTTCCACACTGCAAGCCAGAAGAATCA